GAGGTTCAACTTCATTCAGTTCCACGTGCGTTGAGTGAGACATAGAATTATTACAGACCCATCATTAAACTCCTATAGTGGAATACAGGTGAGAATATGCAACTTGTTTCGCTGCAACACTCGAATGGATTTAAAATAAATCTTGATCCCAAAATTTGCACTCCTAATGGTAACATACTATATGATGGTATTTACAACCCATGTCTACAGTTTTTTTGAAGCTGGTTCTTTGGCAGAATCCCAGCGATAATCGTGACTTTCAAATGAAAGTGTATGAAGAAATTCGTAGGTCGATCTCACTCGAAGGCGACGGCCCATTTCCGTTGCTTATTTGACAATTTCCTGTTATGTGGATAAGCTTTCAGCTGCCGTAGCTTAGAAGGAAATTCAAAGTAAATGAGAAAAATCAAGCTTTCATCATTCCCTTATTTTTCATTCAAATCTCCTTTTTATTATCACTAGTGGAGATCAATCCTAAGAATATTCAAGTTAGTTTGACAGAATCCTGGCCATCCCGATCATCAGTGCGTAAATTGAAGATTATTCATTTGTTAAATTTCTTTATGAAGAATCCTCTCCTAATGGTCTCACGTGAGGAAATAATCTCTATGCCTAGGTATAGTAACTGGTTATTCGTCTTCCTCTTCACTGTAGATATGACAATACATCATTAAGGTTTAGTAAAATTAAAAACTCTTTCTGTTTTTATTTTTCGTGTCACCAAAGTGCCGAGTCAATATCTGGAATTCCTCTTCTAATTTATTTATGCAGAATTAAGCCAAGTGACGATCATATGAGCAGACCAAATATTTGTTCATAGATAAGGACCTTAAAATAAGTCGTCTCTATCACGTTAAGAATCCTTCCAGATTCGCTCCATCTCGAGGATATCGTCCGTTTCTTGAAAGATTGTCAGATCTTTTCCCTTGAGATATTCGAGTCCATCAAGCCTGCTGCCTCAGGTTATTGGAGAAAATTCGTGGAAATTCTTTATTGTATTTAATGCTCTATCAGTTGAGGTAGATGAATTCGGTCAGTTTGTGTGGTGCTCTATACTTGCTGTTGAAGCCTACATCGAAGTATGATGTGGATAGTCTTGAATCCGTTTATTTAATTGAATTTAGTGTATACCTTCCGACTTCCCAATTCATAGGCTTCCTTGATCTTCTCTGTTAGATTCTATAGGACTATAATAAAAAGTAAATTATCGGATGATTATCGGACGTTTCAAACGTAGTTAATGTATCGGTCGAAAGGTTTGTTTGTGACTCCAAATTCTTATACTTGTGTCTAGTGTACTCGTCAGGTGGGTATCAGGAAATTGAACTGCTTTTAAATGTTTAAGATGAATGAGATGAGATTAATACATGATAAATATAAATTGGAGACAAATAATTAGTGGATAAAGTAGACGGTTTATAAAAATTTTCATTTGTCCAGGTAGCTAGGAATACATTAAAAAAATCTGGATGTGTATAGATGCAATAAACTAAATTAAAAAATAAATAGCTTTACTATAAATATTTTAATAGTTTCTACACCATAATAAGAATGTGTAAGACTATGAATTTTGATAAAGATAAAATTATTGCTTCGTGCACAAAAGTAGGGAAGTTACAAATAGGAAACTTAAGCGTGGCTATGCACACCAAGTCAAAATTATAAATCTGGCTCCAGCTCGATACAGCTAGCTACTAGGCAGGTTTGGTAAGAGCTGCTAAGGAAAGTACTTCAGTAAGTAACGTCGGCACCACGAGTGATATATAGCCCATAACTTTAGGTTTCTGCAAATCCAGAATATATATATATATATCTAATTCGTACCACAAAAAATTCCTCACCAATTTTTAACCATGAATAGTTATTAAGACTAAATTGAAATTTCATGAGGCATCTACGAATTCTCGAGCATAATACCTACAAGGCCACTAGTTATAAAAGCGGCAAATCATTCAAGATATGGTTTAGGACAGTGATTCCCAAACTGTGCACCACGGCGCCTCGGGGAGCAGCGAAATATTGTAAAAGCTTCAATTTGAGAAAATGTGCAGTGATTTGCATGCTCATCCATCACACTAATTATTAAATACTAATGTAATGTTAATAAAGTAAAAAAAATAATGAAGATACACGAATTTTATTTATTTTTATCTCTCAGTCACTAATTGTCATACTTATGATAGGGCGCAATGGAAAAATTTCAATTGAAAAAGGGCGCCGCGACTAGTTTAGGAAAACAAATTGTCTCCGCCACTGCCAAGAAATATAAAGAACTAAAGATAAATTGTAACAAACTCATCCAGACACCCCGACATAAAGACATTATTAACAATAAAATAAGTAAAGATATGAAGACCAGGATGATGCGGGCTTTTGTATGGTCGCGGTCTCATTTCGTTGTATAGAAGTTGTTTAACCTCGTTTTCGCAACTTGGTCATATTGACAGGAAGAGCTGCATGCATACAATGGACTTCGGACAAGATGGGGTCCTATATGCCTTCCTGCCAATATGACCAAGTTGCGAAAGCAAGGTCAAACAACTTCAATAAAATAATTAATAAAATATTTAGCTTAGCTTGCATTGACAACCGAAGATTTTTTCCATAGTGATTTTTGAAAACTTCGTACGGGATTTTTTTAAGTGTCATTAGGGAGATAGCGGATATAATGAAAAAAAGAAAAACTTTATCAGATGAGAGTAAAATTATTTGGTTTGAAATCTTAGCCTAATGCCACATTGGACTCAAAATCAACAGATAGTGTTCGGCGGAGTTGAATAAAGACAACAAAAATTCACTTATTCTGAGTAAAATGGCAAAAAAGTTGCGCTAAGCATATTAAAATTAATATGAAGAAAAATGTGAAAGGTAAATACCTTTTCTTTATCAGTTCCAATCAATTTTCGATCCTCTCTATTCACCAGGCGACCGGGAACTACAGCAGATGGCAGGTTTCCATGAAGAACGAATAGCTTTCCTGGTCTATTGGCAGCCTTAAGTGCCTCCAATCCAGCTTGGATTGCAGGCCCCAACATGCTTCCAGAATCTGAGCCTCCTGTAGAGACAGATACATCATCAATGCGACTATGACCATCGGAGCCATGAAAATGGCCAAAGTTAGCTGAGATAAACTGGAGCAGGCTCTGTAAAAGGTTCCGTTGAGGCTTTAAAATAAAGCCCTCGACGCCAGGTACGAAGGCCTCCTCCATGTCAGCTACAATATGCATTTTCGGTCGCGCATAAGCATTATCTGGAGAGTCGATCTCCCCTTTATCACCATTTAGTGCTGGCAATGCGGGAAGACTACTAGAATAAGAGATAGCCTTGTTGGCTCTGCTTAGCTTCGGCATACTGTAGAAATGAAGGGTTGAATCATAAGTGATAAAGCCTACATGAATTACGCTTTCTGAAGATTGATCCTGTCTAAAAACAAAATCAAAGGTGTAAAAGCAGTGAACTCAATGAAGAGCGAACATAAGAAAATCCATGCACCTGGGAAAGTTCGGGAGAATCGAATCAATAAAGCTATTACAGAAGAGGGACACTAGGCCGGATTTTATAAGGGCTTTGGAAGCCTCTATAACAAAGATAAATGCAGGAGCTTCTGGAATTTCATTATTCTTGCAGTACTCGGCAGTTGCGGTCAACTCATAACTACCTAAACACAACTCTGGTCGCTGCATGGCGTCGACTCTTTGGCCATTATGGTCGAGGTGAGCAAAATATTCTGGAGGAACTTCAGTAGTTGCGTGACAAAGAGCGCATTGAAATCGGCGACCGCCATCAATAAATAGCATAAAGGGGTTTATGTAGCTCTTGCAACGAATACAACGCACCGGCCCCTGAAAAACAAAGAGGCATTGGTTTTCAAATTAATACCAGTAGACTTAAAGCATTAAAAAAAGGTTGAGATTATGAAATGACAAAAACAACAATTACAACGTAGACGTACCGAATGGCCCATGTCACTCAGCAGAATCGGTTGCTCCTGTGGACCAGGTTGAGCAAATGGACATATTGAGAGAGAAAATGGTATTCCAACAGACTTCAAGAGATTAGAATTTGTCGGGACACAATAAAGTGAGGAACGAATAAATGATGGACAGCAGTTTCCGGCATCTCTAAAGACGACGTCAGTAGAGGTTACCAGAGGAGGAAGAAGCCCACGAGGCATGGTGATGAATAACGAATTGTTACCCGTTCGAAGTGCCCTATCCTTTTCGAAAAACTAAATATATCGGTTGAAAATAAACTTTAGCAACGTCAAAAATAATTTTTAATAATAAAGGAGGATATATAATATATAGAACTAAGCCTAATAAGTGAGGTGCTAATATAAAAACATTACAAAACTAGAGATGCAATTAATGAATCTTGTTAGTTAGCAAGAAATTGTTTGTAATACAACCAACAGATAAAGAAGAGCCGGATAGTGTTCTTGCCCTAGTGTTAGCGTGAGACCATTACAAGAACGATACCTAGCTCTGATGATGTCCATAATATGATGGACGAAAGCAACGAGGGAGGAAGTCTCGTGGACTGCACCAACATGAATATCATATAAAAGCCAAAAGGGTGCAGTGTAACAAGATTTATCCGTCCTCATCTGGCGAGACCGACAAACGAACCTTTTCTTGATTCACTTTCATACGAAATGAAAGTCCTAACTATTATTCTAACATAGAGTTAATCTATGCTAGTACTTTTCTAAAACCGAGGTATAGGCAGGTACAATATTAAATAGACAAAACATGTAATAGTATGTCAATTCGTTCTAAAGTGGTATATTTAGCTATGGTTAGATAATCAGAAGAGGTTCTTTGAATCCGTAATGCGTAAACAAAGAAACGTAAAGCAAGAGGCCCGAAAATTGATACACGCTAAGGATTAGGTTATGGAATGCTTCATTATATACAAGTCGGAAGGGCTAATAAATGCAATACTACGTTAGAGGTTTATAA